ACAATGCTTCTGGCCAATCTCTAGGTTTTAAAGAGACCCCCAAAACACAGGCAGGATAGACAGGGGACTCTCTGCCTGGGCAAGGGCCCACTGCATTCCCAGGGGAGAGAGAGGTGGGTAAGCCCGCATAGCATAGGCAGCCTCAGGAGACCCTTGCAGGCTGAGACAGGAAGGTGCAATTATGAATGACTGTGAAACCGGGAGGGGACCTGCCTGCTGGTTGGAGAGTGACCCAGTCCTTCCAAAGACAGCAGGAAAATGACTTGGTTGTGTGATTGGGAATCAGGGCAGGATGAGGCTTGGGTAACCCTCCTGTGTCAACCCGAGTCCTGATGTGAACTCATTCTTCTGAGATGTGCTCAATATTATTTTCCGAGAGCACCTGGAGGAATCTCAAGGTCAGTGCTCCCCTTAACAAGTTGCTCAGATCTCCCACACTGCTGCATTAGAAAATGCTCTATCAGGAGAGTCGCTGCCCATACCAGCTTGTCCAGCCTGTGCCCTCTCTGGGTGCACAATGGGCAGCTTGCCAGCAGGCCCCTCTATGCCCTCCCGCACACCGCAGCTCCGCAGATCAAGAGAAACACAAACCGCCCGCCACAAACCAACACTCCACAAACTTGTGTAGGGCAGCTGTATTGCTGGGACCCTCGTCCTCATGCCCCATCTGACTTGGTCCTGACCTTGCCATTCAAGGTCATCCTGTCCATCGAGGGCATCTGTTCATCGTGGGTATGGTGTCTTCAGAGAAAGAAATCTTTCAATGGCTGAGGAACCTGAGGAAGAGAAGGGTCCCCAGGCAGGGGAGTGAATGTGGTCTACTATTTTCCTTCTTCAATTCGCCCAGCCAGTGACCTTTCCTGACTAGGCTTCTGGGATGGACACAGGGGATAAGCAGTGAGGGCCATGATCTCATGTGAGAGCCTGCCCAGGAAGCCTGGGTTCCACATGGCAGCAGCAGAAGACCACGCCAAGCAACCTCTGTGGGTTGGTGGCGTGGACTGTGGCTCTGAAGCTGACTGTGCCTGCCGCAGATAATCAGGGAAGGCTTCTTGGAGGAGGAGGAGGAGGAGAAGGAGGAGGAGGAGGAGAAAGCATGAAGCAACTTACATCCTTTTGGATGAGCTCAGCATAAACCACGCAGGCAGCAGAGATGAGCTCATCGGCGTCAAGATCGATGAGGTTGTTGCAAGCCTATGCAGGGAGACGCATGTGCATATGTTTGTGTGCATGTGTTTGTGTGTATGTGTGTCCTCAGCCTGTACGGCAGAGTGCTGATATTGTACATTTTGGGGTGGCATTAAGCGTAGCATCCACACTGACTCTAGGGAGTCCTGGGGCTCCCCTACATGTCTCAGGAGCTTCCAAGGAGGACTTGATTATAATTGGGGTGCAGCTAAAGTTCTTTTCAAACCAAGACTTTACCCTTTTTTTTTTAATGTTAGGAAATTAGGTCCTTTTACCACAAGAGCATCCCCAGGCCAAGGGCTGCCTGTGAGGTTAAACCACTCAAGGCCTCTGTTCCCTGAGCACTGACTAGATGTTAGTCTCTGTACTGGGCTGATTAGTAGGTGTGGATGAACTCATGTGTCCAAAACCCTCAGCAGAGAGCTAATACTGAGCTCTTCCGACCTGGAGGCTAGGGTGTTAGGGAAGCCCAGGAGCCCAGGGCCCTTCCACTGGGATGCGGAGGGTGTTGGGGCCTCTAGAGGTGGGGGGAGGGTGGCTCACCAGGAGGATGGCGTCACCGCTCATGCCCTCCAGCAGCGCCTGCTCGCGTACCATCTGCAGCATGCTATAGGCCACCAGCACCTGCAGGTTCCGGCAGGGCTTCCCAGTCAGCAGGACCTGAGGGATGTAGGGGGTGGGGTGGGGGCCTGGACTGGAGATGCCCTGAGATAATGAGGCATGCACCCCCGCACCAGTGCCCAGGGCCGGCCCATCCCAGGTCTCATTGCTCACTCATTCATTCATTCACCCTGGAGTGCTAGGCATTGGCTCCTGGGGGATTCAGTGACAAAGGCCCCTAAGAATTCATGGTGGGGAAGATAGGGTTCTTGGGAGACCAGGGAAAGCATGAGTTGTTGGGAGCTCAAAAATCCAAGGGTGTCTCCCAAGGCTTGAGGGTGGTCAGGGACTTGGGCAGGGAGACAAGCAGGCCAGGGAGGGGTGTGAGGCAGGTGGCATTGACTTGTAGGGCACTGAATGCCAGGCTGACAGTTGGGCAGTGATGGTGGCAGGCTGCTTCCAGGGGAGGTGCACCTGCTGGTGGCCGGGGGTACGGGCAAAGGGCTGTGGCATCCTTGGGGGACAGGACACAGGGAGGCTCCAAGTGCAGCCAGCACCACGGAGGTAGGGAAGGCCCAGTGAGAGGCAGCAGGGCACAGGCTGCAGGGACTTTGGAGGGATGAATGGATAGATAGGAGCAGGACTGCTGGGTTAATAAAATCTTGAGCCACGGAGCTACATCCAAAGCCAGAAATGGTGGGAAGACAAGGAAAAACTGGCCATTTGGGGTGGGGACCTATCCCCAGTGTTCCCAGTGGAGCATTTACCTCCCATAGGCGCCAGACATCTTCGAAGGATTTGAAGGCACGCTGGAAGCAGAGGCAGAACCAAGGGAAGAGGGCCTGCACCGCCCCCGCGCCCTTCCCTTCTGTGGGGAGAGAAGCGGGTGCTGCCCAGGAGGCCAATGTCAGGGAATTGGGGGGACCACACACTCAACAAAGCTAAGGCACACAGAGCACATGGGCGGGACTCTTAGGAAATGTGGCAACTCTGGCTGTGACGGCGCCACCTGTCCCTGGAGACTGGGGTCACGTTCACCACTGCAGACCCCAGCCATCCCCTCCCAGGGTCTGGACAAGTCCCCAGCGCTGCCCCTCTTCCTGTGACTAAGGACAGCTGCCCCCTCCCCTCCTTGCCTGGATGGGGCCCAGGGGGCAGGAGATGGGGTCCACGCACTCAGGTGCTCAGCAAATGGGGGGTCCAGGAGGGCGATGAGGCGGCTGAGCATGTCCAAGTTCTTGCCCACCCCGATGGTGATGACGCAGCTGTTCTCCTGCACAGGGCGGGGCCAGGAAGGGAAACTGAGTCTCCTCCGCAGCTCCGCCCCAGCTCTGGAGGGGCTGTGTGTGGTGTCCCTGAATGTGAGCCTGTGTGCAGACAAGCACATGCCTTGTCTGTGTCAGTGTGGTCTGTGTGTGCAGGCCTACCGGTCAGCATATGTGTGCCCTCTCGGTGACAGTGTGTGTCTTAATGTGTACACAGAAGGGTAGGATGGGGATGCAGAGATGTCTCAAAGGTGGCTCACAATCTGGTGGATGCACTGACCACCCGTGGGCACAAGGACAACACATTATTGCAGGGATGGGGAAGGGGAGGGGAGAGAGAGGTGAAGGAGGTGAGCGGAGAGTGGGGGACAGTGGGAGAAGCTGGGGTAAGGGCAGGGGAGGAACAGGGAAGGTGGGGAAGGGGTGGGGGAGTGGGTAACCTCTCCCAGGTCCTAGGGAAATGCTGCCCAGGGAGGGGGGTTCTCTAGGAGCAGCGTCTTCAAAGCCCCTCAACCTGGACAGAGCAGGGGGATGCACTGGGCACAGCTGAGTTGCCGCAAGCTACATGTGGAGGAAACACCGGGAAGCAAGACCAAGGAGGCCTTGAAGGAAGGGCTGGCTGCTGTTGGATTTTTTTCTGGAGGTTGAGGATTGGCAGGGTGGAGAGTGTTTGGGGAGCGCAAGGCCAGGAGAGGGCGCTGTTCCTGGGTCTGGCCACCCTACTTACATTCCAAGGCCTCCTCCATTCCAGTGCCTGCCTCTTGAACCCCACCCCCAGGCTGACCTGTGTCCCAGGAGTGTTTGGGGCTGGATGGGTGGGCATGACTGTCCCAGGGAGGGGCTGGGGCTGGGGCTCCCAGCAGGCCTCACTGTTTTCTGCAGGAAGAACTGGAAGAGCCAGAAGGTCTCGTGGTCGTGCTCCGCCATGAGCTGGAAGAGCATCACCATCTCATGGAAGCCCTGCTGGTACTCTGCGGAGGGCACACTGTGAGGAGGGCCCCGCGGCACCTGGCAGTGGCCGGACGCGGCCCTCCCTCCGCTCACCTGCCTGGGTGTTGCACACGTAGCTCAGCAGCAAGACCTTTTCCAGCCTCTTCTTGTCCACCAGGATGTTGCCCAGTGGGTCTTTGTCGTAGAGTTTCTGGATGTCACATGCTAGGTTGGGGACAGGTAGGTGGCACCAGACAGCTTCGAGGAGAGGGCTCACGGGCTGGTTGATCCCCCACCCAGTGAGGCAACCCCTGGGATGTCCTGGGGGGAGGAGCTCAGCTCTGCACCACACCCTGAGCTGCTACTTCTGTCCACCTCTGGACCAATGACCAGGCCAAGACTTCTTCTGGGACCCCCTACCCTGGCACCCAATTCAGATCCAGTCTGGTTCAAGGCCAGGGAAGAAAGAGATGAAGACGGTGCTGCAGGAACGGTGAGTGGCAGGGAAATGGTGCTGGGCACCGAGGGGCATCTGCAGACACGGATGGGGGCCAGAAGCCCAAAGCAAGGATACCCGCATCCAAGTAACCAAGGAGTGACAGAAAATCCTCCAACCTTCTGTCCCCAGAAGTGGCTGAGGAGGAGACAGGCTGGCTCTGCTGTCCCCGCTGCCTGTCTCCGACCCGACCCGCTCACCAATGTTGTTCTGAGTCTCGGTGAAATTCCGGTGCAAGTTCTCCAGAAGGGGCTGGATCTTCTCGTACATTTGGCACAGGGCCTCATAGTTCTTCCTGCCAGGATGACACCACTGGGTGGGGGAACCCTGTGCAGCAGCAGCTGCTGGGTCCAAGGGGGTACCAGGTAGCCTTGCCCTCTTTGCCCCCAACCTGTGATGTTTTCCCCGGTGGCAGCTTGTGCCAGGCCTGAGCACCCTCTACTGCGGGCCTCCTGGGCTCTGCAGTGTAGTCACTGCTCACTGCACCTGAATCCGGGCACTGCAGCTTAATAATGGGGCATCCACAGCTGAGGCCCAAGGGCTGTCACCTTCCCTCTCTGAGCCTGTTTGCTGTCTGCAGATTGAGGCTAGCCCTGGCCCCTCTGTGCCTCAGGGCTGGAAGGATCGGATGAAATGGTGTTAGGTGTACTTGTCAGTAGCTGGTGTGCTGAGCTGACTGGTGGCCAGTGGATCTTTGTCATAGAGTTCCTGGATGTCACATGCTAGGTTGGGGCACAGGTAGGTGGCACCAAACTACTTCCGCACCAGAACCCAAGTGTGGCTTTCGTTAGAACAAAAGTCTTTGCGGATGTGATTGAAGATCTCAAGAGGAGGCTATTATGGATTCTCCGAGTGGACCCTAAATCTGATAACAAGTGTCTTTATGAGACACAGGGAGGAGTTCAGGTGACCATGCAGGCAGAGATGAGAGGGATGCACCCACCAGCCAAGGGACATCTGGCGCCATAGACCCAGGAAGGTGAGGAAGGATTCTCTCCTAGAACCCTTGAAGGAAGCCCACCCCTTGCTTTGGGCTTCTGGCCCCCAGAACTATAAAAGCCAGCCTTCCTCCCCTGGATAGGGGACTGACCTATGTTCTCTAACCCAGCTCTCAGAACCAGTCCATGAAATGTATCATTGCCCCCATTTTACAGAGATAGAAACTAAGAGGTCAGTGGTGAAGTTCACGGCAAGTGCACCCAGGGTGTACATGGTGGTGCTGGGGTTTGAGCCCAGCTTCCACATCCAAAGCTGTCCAAGTTGGCAGGCTGTGTTACCTACAGAACCTAACTGCTTCCTCCTGCCGCCTTTGGAAGATCTGGAAAGGCCATTTAGGGGCAGTGCCCCATCTCATCTGGGCACTGAAGGAAGAGGGGAGTGTTTTGTTTGTTTTTGCCCCTGGGGATTGAACTCAAGGACTTTGCACTGAGCTGCATCCCCTGCACCTCCCTCTTTTTATTTTGGGACAGAGTCTTGCTGAGTTACAGATGCCCAGGCTGGGATAGAATTTGTAATTTTCCTGCCTCAGCCTCCCAGATGGTACCATGTCTGGTTAAGCATGGACTTTGATAGGCAGATGTTGGGGAGGGCAGTGTGGTGGAGGGAAAAGAGTGCACCAAGAGCAGAGCACAGCGCAGATGTGGCCTGTGTGGGGCGGTGCTGGGGCAAGCAGGGAAGCTTCAGCCAGGCAGCTGGTGTGGGAATGCAGGGTGTGGGACAGGGCTCCCGGGGCCCAGGAAGACCTTGAAGAAGTGTGCAGACTTGTACTGTTACCAGTCAGGCACTGGGATGTTAGATGCTGGCTTAGGGATACAATATAGCTGTAGACCCAGGAGGCAGCTCAGCCATGGGTGGGTACGGGGAGAAGGTCCCAGGTGGAGGCCTAGGAACAAAGGTGGGGGAAGTAGCTTTGTGCAGCTTCATGGCCAAATGCACAGGCTCTAGGGAGGGCAGAACGCAGGGCCAGGGGCTAAGAGGGATGCAGCTGGTGGGCTGCTCAGAGCAGGCTGGAGAGGCCACCTCCTGTCTGCCACCTGCGGCCCCACCACTGTGCTGTAGAAGATTGGTGAGTTCTACCTCCTTGTGCTGTCCACCGTGAGCCGCTCGTCCTGGGAACTCTGCCATGAGTAGTAGCCGGTGAGGAACTTCCAGGCCTCTGTCCTGACTCCAGGGTGCAGGCCCTGGCGGCGAGGGCAGGAGGCCGTGAGCCCTCCGGAGAACTCCCCAAGAATCTGTCCAATGCCACATCTGCCCCCGCCTCCTGTGTCCCTCCAGTTGCAAGGAAGGCCAAGGGCAGCTTGGGGGCCTTACCCTCTCCAGGATATTAACACAAATGAAGTCCCGGGACTTGGCCAAGTAACCATTCTCATCAAAGAAGCTGTTCCATTCCGTCTTGTCGATGGGCGGTTTTCTCTTTGCCTGGCGAGGACAAGGGGGCCTTTAGCTTGTCTTTTTAGTTTAACGCAATTTTTAAAATGATAGCCTCTGCACTTTGCAATAGGAATCAAAGCTTACAGCTTCTGACTCACAAGGAAATTACTGAAAATAAGTAGGAAAAATCCTGAAAGCACAATAATTTTCACTGCATGCTGCTGTTCTGCAATACGGGAATAGTTAACTATGGTGTAGATATTCAGCAGAGCATTGTGAGATGTATAAACAGATGTTTACAAGGGATGAATAATAATCTGGAAAAATACAAATGTTAACAGAAAAAAAGCAGAATACAAAATTAGATACTGTGCATTCCATGTCCTGTACTCTATAGTACTACGACAGCATTTATAGTACAGCCTGTCTACTACACTCTGTAGTACCACTACGGTATTTAGGGTACTGTTGATTGTACTCCATAATCCTACCATAGTACTTATAGTACAACCTATGTATGTACTACATCCATTACATTATTATAAAAACTGCACTGTATAACTCTAATATATAGGGCATTAACCACTGTAAAAATTTAGAAAAAAGATTAGGGAAAAAAACTTTTCTCTAAAGGGTTTAGATGATTATTATGACTGTCATTGAATAATAGGAGTATAAGTAATTTTTCCTTTTTCTTATATTTTCAAAATTCTCTATCATAGTGTGTGGCGCTTTGACAGCAGGAGAGAATATAAGATAAGTGCTAATGAAACACGCTCCTGTTTATCTTTTCTGGAAATGTAAAACAGTTCACCATGAAGAATGGAACATAGTTTAGATAAGGGGTGTGTATGTGAGAAGGAGAGGGAGGGGTATGCGAGAGATAGTATGTGTGTGGGATATGTGTGATATGTTGGGGGGAAGCAAATGCATCATAAGCAAAACAATTTGAAATGTTTACAAAATAATAACTAGGTGTTAGGGATCCTATTGGACCAGGGAAAGATGCCTGTCTTCCTAGGGTATCCCCTCCTGCTGAACAGAAGAATATCTTGCAATCCACACTGCAAAGAGAGAGAGAGAAGTGCTGATGGGTGGAGACACCTCTGATAAACCTACTCCCAACCTCCCCTTAATCCCTGAACACGGACAGGCATGACTCAAAATTAAGTCTCTATACAAATCATTTGAGGATCTTCTTAACCTGCAGATTCTAATCCTGAAAGTTGGGGTTGCAGCCTAAAACAAAACATTCCAAGCAAGTTCCGAGGGGGCTGACAATGCCACTGGCCCATGGGCTGTGAAAGATCGGGGAATTCACAGGAAGTACAGCACTGGAAAGTAATAAGCAGAGCCTACAGGCATAGATGGGGATAATTCCATCAACTGCATGTTTGGAGGGCTTGGAATGAGAAAGACATTCTTGAATAATTTGTAGATCCTCTATTTCCTGAAAAACAAGACGTGGGGCCAGGGAAGTACAAAGAAATGCAAAGGGCTAGGGATGTGATGCAGTAGCAGAATGCTTACTTAGCATGTGTAAGGCCCTGGGTTCAATTCCAAGTTCTGGGGAAAAAAGTAGAAAGAAATTTGACCTTGGTCTGCCCTTGGAAGAGGGTGGCACAGCTATGGCCCTCAGTGACTACTTCCACATTTGCAGAATCACTGGGCTTCCCTGCCCACTGCCTGGGTCTCAGTTCCAGCTCTGTGACTGTCACCAGGTTATGAAGTCTCTGTGCTTCAATTTTCTTATTTATAATGTGAGGATAACAGCACCATCCACCTCCCAGGTTGCGATGAGAATGGATGACTATAAATAAAGCATTCAGCACAGTGGCTGTGCATGGTAAATGCTGTGTGACAGCTTATTTTATTACTCTCAGCCTTCTCGGAGTTCACAGAATGGAAGGATGATATAAAAAATTCAAATCAGGACCTGGTGATCATCTACAATAAAGCAGTAACATTTAAAACTCAGGGAAAGAGATGTCCATTTTGCATTTTTTTGTGTATCACGCTCTTAATCACTATGATTAATGAGACTCGAGATTGGTTAAGGTCATTATAATTAGTAATTATGATTTTGAGAAATACTGCATGGAAAATTTTTGCGACTGAAGCCGACTTCTAAGGAATAGATGCATTTTATTAACTGGGTTTGGAACCACCTACTAACAAAAGCCTTACTGCCACCTGGTGGCAGCACACCGAAATTGTTAGCAAAAGCACCAAAGAAAATTAGCCGGCATCTGATTTAGGAGTGAACTGGCAGACATGAAGATAAAGTCAGAACGACCCACCTAGGGAGAAGAAAGTAGCACTGGCTTGAGGACAAGGGGGAAGGGGCTGCAGATGTCTCAGCGCTGTTGGTGAGACTGATGCAAAGGCCAAGGTACAACTGGCCCAGTTGTGGCAGCTCAGGGTCCCGCCCAGCAGGGGAAGGGGCCCACCCGCCACCCAGAGGCTGGGGAGGGAGGACCGGAGGCTGCTGAGGCGCACGCACCAGGATGAAGGAGGCTGACTGCCTGGCCGAGAGGCTGTTCTCAGGAGAGAGGGTGGTCATAGCCCTTGCAGGCTGTCTCCACAGCAGCCCCTGACCGGAGCTTGGAACCCGCTACTCGCTTGGAGGCTTAATGAGCAGCGGGAGGTAAGCTGTCTTTAGGAGAGGAGTTGCCTTCCCGAGAGGAACTGGTCTCTCCAGATGGAAATCTCATGCTTGAGCAGACCTGGCGGCTGTGTGTCACAAGGTCCCTGGAACCCGCATCACAATGACCTTGGAACATGGGGGCTCCAGAGGAGAGACACACACACACCAAGGGACATAAAGAACTGGCCATCCAGAATAATTTCCATGTATGGCAGGATTTGCAATGGTCACTGGACTCAGAGCACATGGGGATCCTGGTGAGCTGCCTGGCAGACATGGGTGTCTCTGGCTCTTCCTTGGACTCTGTTTGCTCTTTCAACAGACCAGTGGGTGGCCTTTCTGACATTTGGGGCCACTTTCAAGGATGCAATATCATCCCCCTGGAGGGGCTGGGGGATGCGTGTTTATGAGTCTCCCAAAGTGCCTCAGATTCAGTATTTGGATGGGAGTTTCTGGAGGTAGAGACCAATTTTATTTCACTTACCTTCATATCCAAAGCCCTTAAAACAGTGCTCAAGGCTTGTCTAACTTAGAAACTGTTGGTCTGGGTACCAACTGAATGAATGATTTCATGGGATGAGAATAAATGATGCTCTCTGGGATCACATCTCACTTGCCGCTATGCGTCGTGAAGATTTCTGCACGTCCCATCTCCCCTTTTACCCTAAGTTCCTACAGACCAGCATGAAGGTCAGATGCTGTGTATTCCTCTTCCAATGCCAGTCCTGCTGCTGCCTGTTTTGTGTTTTTGGAAATGGGGTCTCAATATATAGTTCAGGCTGGCCTTCAACTCACTATGTAGTGTAGCTTGGCCTTGAACTCATAGTGATCCTCCTGCCTCAGCCTCCTGAATGGTGGGAGAGAACCACTGTACCCTGCAGCCTTGTTTGCTGAGTGGATTGAGGAAGCTGGCTCCTCTTGGCCCCAGAATCACCATTCTCCACCTTAGGCATTGCTCAGGACCCATCTGGCTTGAAAGCATCCTTGGTCATTAGCAGATGATAGTAATGAGACAAACCGAATGGGAATCAGTAGCTCAAAGTTAGAATTTGGACTCTGACCTCAAATTTAGATGCCCCCTCCCCTCTGAGCCACAGATTCCCCAGCCGTGAAATCAGAGTACAGTCAACTTCTGGCTCTTGTCTCGTTAACACAATGAATCGGCGTCCCTGTGGAAGCCCCGGGTGGACACGATTCATTGTCTCGTGCACTGGGATGGCTCTGCTGTCCTTCAGCACTGGGTGCCGGGCTTTTACATGCAGCGCCTTGCAATCTTCCCTCCTCCACCGCCCACCCCAGTAGAGGCAGGTGGTACCGCTTGTGCCTTCCCTGAACCTGCCACCCCTTGGGTCTCCACAGAGCAGGAGGGGGGCAGCATGAAGTAGGGAAGGCATGGACTGGGAAGGAGACCCCTTCCACACAGGAAGACCTCGTGCAGAGATCTGTGGAAGTTTCCAAAGCAAATGTGAGGCAGGAGACATGGTGGGTGTGCCACCTTTGGGGGTGACAGTTGCCTCTCTTCCTCCACATTAGTGATGGAGACATGGAGAAAGAATAGCAAGTTTCCCTAGGAAGATGGGCACCAGCCAGGCAGCTGGAGAAACGTGAGTGGTAAACCCAACGTGGCTTCTAAAACGAACGTGGTGGAGGTAGACGATCTACTGAAGGCCCTCTAACCTCTGGCTCCCCATGTGCAAATTGGAGGTCATAATTCTCTCCCCATTAATGAGCAAGTGCAGGCTCCAGAGGCCATGACTGCAAAACAGAATTGCAGAACCCACGCCCAAGCAAAAAGCGACTTGGCCTCTCCTCCCCACTTCTTGTCCAGATTTGTGCGCGGGATTTACACGTCTATTTTTTCTTAGGCTCAATGGTCCTTACTACATCCATTTCTTTGCAGAATTGCTGGAGGACTTTAGAGCCCCATGCATGACTTCATCTGCACATTTCTCCCTCTCTCATGGGAATGCAGCTTCCTGCTTTCAATTTCTATGCGCAGAGATACTTCAGGGCACAAGACTCCCAGGTTGTAGGATATCATTCTTGGTGTTTGCATTCAGGAAGTCCTGGGAGGGAGGAAGTCTCCCGGCCCATCTTTTCTTGGATACACGCAGTGAGGAGGCTGTGCCGGTGAACAGCGTGGGGAGCCTGAGAAGGTGCTGGGGACACAGGGGGTGTCCATGAAGTGAGAAAGTGCCTAGGAGACCCGGGTTCAAAGCCAGACCCTACATCAGCCTCTGCATGTGGCCTTTCCCATGCTCAGCCTCCTCAGAGAGGCCCAGGCCAAGGATCCCTCAACCGGCGGGTTCATCCCCTAGGTGGGAGTGTGGCTTCCCGCTCCAGGCTCAGGAGGTGCGCCTTTGTTCTACTTAAGTGTGCATGTCACCTGGCACCTGGCCAAGGCCTCTGCTGCATCTGTGCCAGGAGGGGAGAGATGGAATCCTTCACCCAGCCTGCGAGGGGTGCTGCAGACCATCGTCCTGTGCTGGCTGCAGGCTGAGGCCTCTAACCATGGGGCACAGATACCCACTCTCAAAGCCCACCTTGTTCTGCTTCTTCTCTACACGAGTTCAGCCTCATTCCACCCAGTGCCTGCGTGAGTCGTGTCTTCCTTGGCGACACCCACCAACCGCGGAGTGGGTTGACACTGAGACTGCTGCTCCTGGTGGCAGGCATTGTTATGCCATTTGCTGTCCTCCACACAATGAGACTCCTCCCTGGAGGCGGGGACGAGTCATCATCACCTTGACACCGTCTCTTCCTCTGTCTGAGTCCCAGCACCCTGCTCTGTAGCACCGGTAAGAGAAAAGCAGCCTCTGGCACCAATGGCAAAGAAGCTGTGGAGAGAAAAGCGCCCAGTGCGGCCCAGGGGCACAGAGGCACCCAGTGCACAGGCACTACTGTTTGCCCCGGCGTGGCTGTTATTACTACTAACGCCTGGGGCTTGTCCACAAACCTCACTGTGAAAATCTCTTTCTATGTACTCCACTCTAGACAAGATGCCACCTGCTTCCCAAGCCTTGTAGTAACATTGATTCCAGGCTCAAAGATCCCATCAGCCTGCCAGTGTCTGCTTCTCTGCATGTCCCCAGGAACCTAAGGGGCCAGGATTACTGTAAAAGACCGGTATTAGAAACTGAGTTGACTCCAGTCTCCCTTCATGTGAACGCAACAGGACACGGCTCTGAAATGCCATACAACTGCGTCCCTGGCAACAGGTGTTGACCCTTCAAAGGATGTCTGCCCAGGGTTGCCGAAACCCGGGGCACTCAGCTCTCCGTGGAAATCACACGCACTCTGATTCCATGTCGTTGCCTGGTGCCAAAGATCTTTGATGTTAAGGCTGTGCTTTCTCTCTGCCCCTCTTCATGGGGAGCTGAGATAAGTTTAGATTTTTGGCAGCAGGCTTTCTGCCCTAGCGCCCACAGAACAGGGTACTTGCGGCAGTGCTGGAGACAGCTGCACGTCATGTGTCACAAGCATGCGAGAGTGGGAGCGAGGGTGGAATGCATGGGGAGTGCTCTCTGCTGCGCACGGAGGTAGCAAACACCACCCTGTGTGCCCCTGAGTTATTGCTGTGTGCAGACCACCTCCCAGGTCCTAGGGAGCACCCTCCTAGCCAGATGTCCAAGGTGCCAGAAATGACCCATAGCAGCTGCTGTGGTCAAAAGGGAGGCCTGAGCCTGGGCAGTGGAGGCTGAGCCCCCAGGAGCAATTTCTGCCCCAACCCACCCAGTCCTTCTAGCCAAGGTAGTCCTCATGACTGTCCCTGCCACCTGTCCTGGTCCAGGATGCTGCTCTTCCTGCTACCTGCCCACACTGGCTGTTCATTTGACCTCTAGAAAACCTTCCTTTGCCTCTGGAAATCCCAACCACAGCTGCCTTTATTGAACACCTGCTATATACCTCAAGTGAAGTGCTTTACATAGCTGATGAGGACAACAGAAGCTCAGAGAGGTTAAGCTGCCTGCCTGGGATTGCCCAGCTAATATAAGGTGAGCCAAGAATCTTCCTAGCTCTGCCCAGCTCCGCCATAGCCGACCATCTCTATGTCACGTGTCTCTGTGTCAGGCCTCCTCTGTTCTATTAGCAGTGGTGCAGGGTCTGGGTGCCTACAGCTCCAGCTCATGGGGAGTGGGAGTTGATTCTTCCTTCTGTCAAGATTTCCAGGTTGTCCCTCAGTTGGGAAATGGAGTGTGGTGATGACAAGGGCGGAGGTGGGGGCAGCGGCAAAGTACTGCAACCCAGCTCCTAAGGAGATTGAAAGAGTGAAATGGAGAGGAAAAAGGACAAGAGATTCCAGCAAACACCAGGGACGGCTAATGGAGAGAAATAACGTGGCTAATTACGTTTTGGAAGGCTATCCATTCCAAAATGAATTTTTAATGAAAAAATAATGCATTTTCCCTGCAACTTAAATCTGGAAGAGAAAAGAACAAGCAGAGCTCCCAGTGCAGGCAAGAGCAGTGGTGTGTGTCTGGGGCACTGATGTTTTCCTCACCTGACTGCCGCCCCAGTGCCCTCAACCACAGATGCCTGCCGTGCCGTCTCCCATGGAAGCCGCAGGACCAAGCCACGGGACCCCACGTACAAGCAGCAGGGTGCAAGAACACCAGGTGCAGACTCCTCAGGCATCAGCTCCCGGAGGCCTCTTCTCAGCAAGGACCCTGTTATTTTCCCTGGCTGCCCTTATTCCACCAAGGAGTTCTGAGCCTTAAATCAAGGGTGTAGAGGCGAACACTTTTGTGAGATGAAGGCTCTGTTTGCTAAGAGGGACTTGGGGAGGATGAGCTCTGTTCTCCATTCTTTCTAGCACAAGTTGTAGCTCAGAATGGGGAAAGAAAAAGATGAGATTCAGAGTCAAACAGACCTGGCTTCAGATCCCAGTTTTAGGACTTTTAGTGTATGGCCCAGAGCAGTTAACTTGCCAGACTCTTTCTTTATCTGTAAAATGGGGTCCTCCATAGGTTGGTTGCGTGGTTTAAATTATGTCTGCAAAGTGCATAGTACAAGGTCCAGCATCTTCCAAGGATGTAACCCATGGCAGATGTTTATCTTATTTGCTCCAGGTTGACCTTGCACCCCACCAACCTGGCTTGCAGGGTCCCCTGGCCTCTGCTGGTTCCTCTTTGCTGCACAACTATCTGGCCCTGGTAGCAAAGGACCACAGGCTCAGCTGTGATCACTGAGGTGGCTGCTGACCCTTGACCTCAAGTGGGCTGTGTGCCAAGGGCTCAGCTGTTCCTCTAGGGCAGAGAAGGCAGCAAGGCCAGAGAAGGAAGCCCCTCTAGACAAAGAAGAAGACGCACCATTGTCCAACACACTGTCCTCAGGCACCTGTCACATTGTGCAAACACTATTTAGTACCCCCCAAATTTAGCACCACGCAGGGCCATAGAAGGCAGGACCCCATGTGTCAATATTCACTCATCAACATATTTAGATCCATAGAAACACACACAGCCTCACGCAATGTGCATACAAACATACACACAACATGCTACAACATACCCACACTTACCTGCTTCCTCAGACACAACACCAAAGCACTCCAGGGCATTCTGCACCTATGCAAAACTTGCATGCCACAGTGCGCACCTACACGCACACGAGACACACCCGCCTCACAGGTACAGACACCTGGGCTTGCTGGTCATGGCAGCCGTGTCCAGTGATACCCTTCTCTGGAGAAACCCCAAGTTGAGGAGGCCAGGGATAAGGTGACAACGTAGTGGGGAGTAAGGGCATTCTGGAGGGTAGAAGGGGACCCCAGGAGCTGCAGCAGTGGGAGGGGACTGAGGTGGCAGGAAGTGGAGGGGTACTATTTTGAGTCCTGGTGGTCCAGAAAAGCTCCCTGATCTGGCCAGGCACATTCCAGCATCGGGCAGAGCAGGAGGACAGGTCACATTTCACTCCTCCCCAATCAGTCCTTGTCTGCATCTGTCCTATCCTGTGCCCTGGGAGACCTAGAGACCCAGGAAAGTGTATGTCCAATTGCCAGGGTTCTCAGCTCTCTGGTCTATGTGGAGGAGCAGGCTCCTGTCACCTTCACCCTGTCTTTGGGAGCCAGGGGACATATAGAGGACCTGCCGCCTCCTCTACTCTGCCCCTCCCCCAGCCCCCTGGGGCACAGTCACCTTGAAAACCTCTGCTGCCTGAAGTCCCTCTGAACATGATTTGCCTGGTACTAAGGCCATTTCAGGGAAAAACATGTCAAAACAAAAAGCCCATAAGGTCAAGGTCAAAGGGTCATATCTTCTGGGACAGGATCCGAGAAAGACAGTTCTACAGTCTGAACCCACACAGAACTCTGGTCCTGGCCAAGGCTGGTCTTGACCAGAGTTTTCAGTTGGCCCTGAAAACATTCACAGCACCTCTGCTTCCCAGAGAAATGAAGCTCCAAGGAGGTGCAGTAACTCGCCCAAGGTCATACAGCAGATCAAAGGCAGACCTGTAGCTAGAATACAGCCTCCTGCCTCCTGGCCCAGGATCTTTAGATCTCAGCGAAAGGTGATGTATTAAAGCCACACTTTGAAGAAAAGAGAGAGAGTGCCGCGGGGAGAGGGGAGCCTTGTGAAACCTGGATGAAAGAGTCGCAGGCAGTCTTACCTCCTGGTACAGAGGCGCTCCTTTTCCTTTTCCCTCTTAACCTCTAGGCAGGGCCAAGTGCAGGCCACAAAGAGGCAGATTCTGCTCAAGCCCTTCGTCCTGGGGTGGGCAGGGAGGCAGGCCGGGCGGGGCTGGGTTTGCGCTGCCTCCTCTGCTTTGGTCTTCTGCAGAGCAGTGGCCGCAGAAGCACGTGACGCAGCCGTGCGGAGAGGCTGAGATAAGAAGGAAGATTGATCTTTCTGCTGCTTCAAAGAGAACAGAAGCCAACCTGTCATCGCTATGGATCAAAGTCTCTGCAGGCAGAGGACGTGTTCTGTGCCTCCCCGGCCCACTGCGGCCCTGGAGATGGGAGTTCCACTCCTTGGGATGCAGAGCCACCCCCCAAGCCCTGCTGCACATAAGAGACCCCCACTTCCCACCAGAGCCTCAGTACCTACAGGATCCGAGTGTTTAAACTCCATGCCAGCCATTGTGCGGGCAGCTCTGCCCAAGTGGAGGACCTGGCCTGTGGGAACTGAGATCATCCTCATGGTACAGATGACAAACTGAGGCATAAAGAGGCGTTTTGGCCACTTTCCTTGTTGCTAAGACATAATAGCTGGCACTTGCAACTTAAAGGAGGAGAGGTCTACTTGGGCTCACATTTCCTAAAGCTTGCAGTCCATTGCTGGCCGGCTCTGAGGCAGGAAGGCAGGGCGGAAGGGTCTGGCGGAGGAGAGCTGCTCACATTGTGGTGGTTGGGAAGCAGAGAAAGAAGCGGGAGGAGCTGGGAAGGGAAATAAATCCTTCCAGGTCTCATCCCCAGTGATCTGCCTCCCCTGATCTGGTTCTACCTCCTAATAGGAAGTTAGCTATAGGTCCCTCATAAAGTTTATATCTATATGTCTCCCTAAACCCTCATGCAGGGGCTGGGGATTTAGCTCAGCGACAAAAGCGCCTGCCTGGCAAGCGCAAGGTCGTGAGTTCAGTTCCTGGTACCGGAGAAAAACCAAAAAAAAAAAAAAAAAACCAAAAAAAACCCTCATGCAGTCATAGGTGGGGCCTTTGGGAGGTGATTGGATTATAGGGGCTTGAACATATCCGTCTTCATCCACCCAGTTGTGAATCATCCCTGTGTCAGCAATCAGAAAAATATACTTTAACAATTGTTTTGTTTTTTGAGAGGGTCTTGCTATGTAGTTCAGGCTGTCCCTGAATTCATTATGTGGCCCAGGGTGGCCTCGAACTTGTGGTGGTTGTCTTGCCTCAGCCTCCTGAGTGCTGGGACTACAGGAATGTGCCACTAGGTGAGGCAGGAAAATAAGATATTTTAAGTGTGTGGGGAAGATATTTATATAATTTTTACTGCAGTATATTATTATAATTATTCTATTTTATTTTTAGCTATTATTGTTAATCTCTTTACTGTGCTTAATTTATTAATTAAGCTTTATCATAGGTGTGGGTGTATAAGAAAGTCACTGTATGCAGGGCTTGCATTTTCCAAGGTTTCAGGCACCCACTGCTGAGGGAGGCCTTGAATGTATCCCCTTGGATAAAGGGAGACTATTGTATCTCTCTGTTATTCACTTTTAGTGTAATTCTATTATAGCCAGAGAATATGATTTGATATTATTACAATTTTAAAGTTGATAAAGTTTGTCTTATGACCCAGATTATGTTCTGTATTGGAGCAACTTAAAACGAACATGCCTTCTGCTTCTGGTAGTATATTGCTCCACAAAATGTCAATTAGATCAAGCTGGTTGATAGTGCTGTTCAGGTCTTCTGTATCATTTATTTTCTTTCTACTTTTCTATCAGTTAGTGACAGATGAGTGTTAAAGTCCCCAAGTATAATTGGATTTGTCCATCCACTCTACAAGTTCTATCAGTTTTTTGCTTCAGTATTTTAAAGTTCTGCTATGGGGAATGCACACACTTAAGACTGTTATGCCTGTACATTTAAGCCATTCCTTTATCATTATGCAAAATTCCTTGATATAAATTCCCTTCTTCTGGAGTCTCCTTTGCTTAGTATTAATATAGCCATTCTAACTTTTGAAAAAACTTAATGCTTCATGGCACATTTTTTTATCTTTTTCCTTTTAATTGTCTATGTCATTATATTTAAAGTGAGTTTGCTGTAGATAGGATATAGTAGAGTTGATTTAAGAAATCTAAACTGACAATCTCTGTCCTTTAACATAAATTTGTTTGTTTGTTTATGTTTTTTTTGTCTTTTTGAGACAGGGTCTCACTGTGCAGTTCAGGCTGGCCTTGAGCTCACTTTGTAGCCCAGGCTACCCTTGAATTCGAAATGATCCTCCTGCCTCAGCCTCCTGAGTGCTGGGATTATAGGCGTGCACCACCATGCCTGGCTCTAACATGAATGTTTAAAGCATTTATTGAAATGGTTAGTGTATTAGTCACTTTCTCATCGCTGGAACGAAACATCTTGATACAAAGTCAAGCCTCAGGGACTTACCTCCTCTAACTAGGCTCCACCTTCTAACAGCACATTTCATCATGAACTAATCAATGCGTTAATCTACTGATAAGTATAACACCCCCATGATCCAATCCCACTTGGAACATCCCATTTCTAAACACACGAGAGATCTGGTGATATTTTAGATCTAAATCATAACCATTGGATTCAGATCTACCGTTTTGTTGGTTTTTTCCCCCTTCTATTCTAATTTCTCTGTTTCTCCTTTTTTGCTTTATTTTGGATTATTTGAATATCACTATAGTATTTCATTTTTATTGCTCCATTGGCTTTTTTTTCTTGGTGCAGGGAATTGAACTCAGGACCTTGTACTTGCCAGGCAGGCACTTGTGCCACTGAGCTATATCCCCGGCCTCCATTGGCCTTTAAACTATATCTCTTTGTATAGCTTTTAAAGTGGTTATTCTAGGGTTATGCTATACATAACTAACACTGCATGCTCTACTTTAAGTTAATATTTCACCACTTCAAGTGAATTGTAAAAATCTTACAGACATATAAGACCTTTATCCCTGCTTCCTTTATGTTGTAATTGTTACATGAACTACATCGAAGTAAGTTGAAAACTTCATTATATGATGTTATAATTTACCTTTCAATAGACCTACACATTTTAAAGCACTCAAGAAGGAGAAAATAGTCTATTATGTCTAGCCAGCTGTATTGGTCAGCGTTCCACCACCATAACAAAATACTGAAATAACTTATACAAGGAAAAGCTTTATTTTGATTCACAGGGTTGGGGAGTCTATTCTGAGTGGTTGGCCCGTTGTCTTGGGCCTGTGGTAAGGCAGCACACCACTGGAGCAAAGCTACTGATCTCATAAGCCAGGGAGCAAAGAGGGAGAGCGAGTGAGCAGCTGGAGTCCCACAGTCCCCTCCCAGGACACGCCCCCAATGATCTATGGACCTCTTGCCAAGCCCCACCTCCGATAGTGCCAGCCTGGTGCCCAAGCTTTTAACACCTGGGCCTCCATAGGACATTCAAGATCCAAACTATAGCGTCAGCTACTATCTTCTTTTATTCTCTTCTTTTTCCC